GTCGGCGAGCATGTCGGGGTCGAGCTCAGGCAGGTCGACGTCGCCGTCAGCGCCGTCGAGCAGCGTAGTGAAGGCAGCTGGCGGCAGACAGGCGTGGAAGATCAGCAGATCTGGCGGCTTCCGAGTTCGACCTGAGCGACACAACTCAGGCATCGATCGGAAATCTACCATGTCGCTATTGATGGACTCCTCTCCTGCCAACAACTCCCCTTCGCATAAGATTATAGCCGCTCGGCAGTCCCTTGACGACGTGCGTGATGTAGAACGCTGTCGAGTAGTTGACGCCCGCCATCCGCATGTCGGCGAGGATCCGTCGCGCTTGGTTGCAGTAGTCCGTCGCCGACTCCTGCTCGCCCATCCTTAGTTGAGTCAAGCGCTCCTCCAGCTGGCCGATGTAGAGGTCATCGCTCGCCTGGTACGTCGACGAGATGAACCGCCACGCCTAGTGGCCTGCGTCCAGTCGAAATCGACAGACTTCAGAGCGATCTGCACCATCGGCGAACAGCAGCGCGAGATGACCATGAAGGTCAATAGATGTGTCGCACGGAATTCTGCCCGCAGTTCGACGTCGTTCTCTTCCGGCATCACCACTTCACCATCTGCGAAGCATTTCAGACCCGCGATTTCCAACTGGGGCTCGATCGACTCCCTCCATGTGATGAGGTCTCGTCGACCTTCCAACGGTATAGGCACCGCGATCTTGTCCGGCGAAAACTTGAAATGGCCGTAGGCGGGCGCAATTCCGCCAGCCGTCACGCGCGTAGAAGAGCTCTGCCGCAATCCACTTCTCTGCGGGGAGCGACGTCGACCGTCGACGTCGCCGTGCAAGCTGCCCGCACCCGCTGTTGACCGCTGAACTCGCGCATGTATTCCGCCGACTTTGTCGTCGGCGGCCCTGATCACTCCACTCATCCTCCTCGTGCCCTCGTCTCTGCCGACTTGGTCACCATCGTCGACGTGCTCGTCGATGCCAACTTCGTTGCGCACAGGTCGGGGCGAGGTAGACGCGCCGTCCGCTGCAGCACGGGGAGGTGGGTGGTCGCGCGCCCACTGCGCGCGAGTGCCTAGGAGTGCCCACTCCAAGGGGACCTCGCCGAACTCGCCAGCTGTATGGCGTCTCCTAACATCAGCCTCTCGAGTCTCCAAATAATCCTCTACGCCCGCTTCCACAACGGGGTCAACCATGGCGACTATGAAAGCTGCCGGCCTACCAACGAATTAGGTAATGCGCACCTAAATCGGCTACTCTTAAGGTATCTTTGCGGGGCCGTCCACGCTCACCGCACCATGAGGAGAGTCACTACACAACGGGAGTGGACTGCAGAGGAAGGCACGAGGTTGTACGGGTGATCGTAGCGTTGTACTAGGCGTTCTCACTACTTGCAGTGTTCACAAGGAAATATGGCAAGAGTTTCACTAAGAAATTGAGAGAACATTAAATTACAATGAGGCATGCAAGTCGATATAGCTAGAATGGCATTGCAATATCTAACAAGCCCTATGCAGGGCGAACTTATGCCAGCGCAGCAGAAGAGCGGCTTGCCAAAGCTACAACAGAGTAGTCTGCCAGCGTGGTATAGCAGCGGTCTGCCAGCGCCGAAGAGGCAGGTGAACTTTTGCGCATGTGCGCACCTACCAAGTAGGTGCAGGTAGATGGACGCGCCGCCAAGCACACTGCGCAGGTGCCAGGTAGAACACGTGCCGACGGTTTCGCCAGCGGTGCACCGTCGAGCACGTGATGCCGTTCTGCAGGTTGACTTCGCGAAAACCTCCTGGGCGACATTCGCCCGAATGACGAATTTCGCAGTCGCGCGACTTCCGTAGAGTAGCTCGACGAATGCTCCGTCGAGCAGCTTTCGCCTAGACGAGCCCTCTACCAGCCTCGTCGAGGAGCTCCTATACTGGCCTTGTCGAGGAGCTCCTATACCGGCCTTGTCGAAGAGCTCCTCTACCGACCAGGTCCCGTCGAACCGGACTCCTCGACGTTCATCGACCAGCGTCTTCTGCCGACGACTTCTGCGGACTGGTCGAGGTCGAATTCTACGGACACGTTGAGGTCGCTTTCTGTGCGCAGTCTACATTGACATCTGCGCGCCTCGACTGCGAAGTCTACTTCGTCCAAGCGAGAACGGGGTCAGTTCCCGTCAACAGTGGGGAGGGCAAAAATCGTAAGAGTCATCAGTGTATACCATGTTCGGACATCAGTTGGCATAGGAGTGGTCTAGAGCAAAAGGAGTGGTGAAGGTGTAGCGTAGAATAAGCAAAAGAAGGGATAAGAGAGGAGAAGTCAGATTCGCACAGCGCCTCGAATGGAGCAGAGGGGTGAAAATAGTCAAACACATTAGCTACGTCGATGAAGTTCTCGTCGAGACTAGTAGGAGACGGGTACAAGTAGGAAAGTCGAGAAAGGTGTTGCTGTACTCAATAATATGTACCTCATAGTACCCTAACACATCGAACAAAGGTAGAAATATAATTTGACACACCCCCATTGGCTAAGTGAGTGGCATAAAAACGAGCAAGAGAAACACTTGGCCACAAGACCAGCACAAAAGGCAACAAATCAAGAGATACAACACAGGGTGGTACGATCAGTCAACCTCTAAGACATACGTAAACAAGACCAGTTCAAGAATACATATATACATATGTAAACAACAAAACAAGAAGAGCAAGAAACAAGAGGCAAGTCTACAAAAACGAGGGCAAAACTGAACAAGGTCGAACTGCAAACACAACATGTGACGGTCACCAGGCAGGAGGGCCTTGGTGAAGATGTCCGCGGTGTTGACCCCTGAGGCGACAAAGATCAAGAGTGCCTTGCCATGTCGCTGCAGCTCTAGCAGCAATAAGCATCTCAAATCGATGTGATTTAGTCCGCTTTCCGGTCAAAGCCCTTGACAAAGGAGGATCATAGCCTTGTTGTCAGCTAACAAAGGTCGGTGCAAAGCTAACCAGCTCACCTAGGTCGGTGATAGCATGGCGGTCAACCGGCGTAGATCTCGGCCTCAGGACTAGACCGAGCCACAGACAACGACCGGGTGGACCTCCACGTCACAGTGTTAGAGCCCAACCTGAAACAATACCCCTGAGTCGACTTGCAGGTCTTCGAGTCGTCAGCCCAGGACGAGTCGAAGTGTTCAGTTTTTCGCACTGGCTGGCTCCCTCCAAGTACAAGCCCCATGCCTGATGTGGCCGCGAGGAAATTCGTCACCCTCTTAGCAGCCCTCTCTAGGGGAGGAAAGGGTGGAGGGGCCGCAGCATGAGCGGCAGCAGGGAGGGAGCGGGCAATCAGTTTGACTACCACATGGGGCTGTCGACTCAGCCTACCCTGGTATTGCATGGCGTGCAAGTGTTCGGTAGCGGGAGGTGGGGAGAAGAGGGGAAAAGGGGAAGGGGGAAGGGGAGCGAAGGGTTTGACTCCCATATAGGGCTGTCAGCCCGACTACCCTGGTCTTGCGGGGAAATTGCTTTGTGGAGGAAGGGGTGGGGGAAGGGGTGGAGCAGGAGGGGTAGGGCAGCGGGAGGGGCATCAACAGAGGGGGATGTTGGTACTTACTGACTACCACATGCAGCTGTCGTCCTGTCCCCCCTGGTCCTACAGAATATGTGTGGTGTGGTGCTTTCGTGGGGGGGTTATCAGATGATACGGATGGTGGCTTGGTTGGTGCTTCACTAGAAGCCAGGGGCGTGAAGGGCAGAGGCGCAGTCAGAAGGCGACATCCTTTTTTTCCTTCAACACACACTCCCCTGCATCCACCTAAAACCCCCTCCCCCTTCCCCCCACAACTCCCTCCATTTCCCTACATTATAATATCCCTCTATACCCATTTGCATTCCCCCTACTCCCTCCACTCCGCCGCACCCCCCTTTAAGGGCCCCATGAGCTACAAGAAATAAATGGAGAGCCACTGGGAGAGGCGCCATCGCAAAGTTGTGCACGCTGTTTCCCTTCCCAGATGTGTTCTGATTTGACTCAAAACACACTTTTTGAGTCGACTTGTTTCAGATTTGTCAAGTTTTTCATAGATTTCCCTGCTTTCTCCCACTCTTGCTTCCCCGCTTACTTGCAGCCGGTGTAAGATTAGCTATATGAGGGAGGGTCTTGGGGTGTCAATGCCAGGTGGAGAATTACCACGGGTAATTCACCCCCTCTTCCTTCTCGCTGGGTCTCCCTTTCCCCATCCCCTGCTTCCCTCAGTCTGTGCAATCTAAGTGCTCCGTGCAAGGAGACGCTAGGGAGGCATTCAGAGTTGAAGAGGCGCCAGAGAAAACGCCCCCTCTTTCCTTCCCCCTGCTTTCCTCCTTCCCTGCAGCCTGCGCAAGATGAGCACTACAAGCAAGGAGACATCGGAGAGTTTCTCGGAAGGGAAGAAGCACCGCGGGAAAGTGAGGGGGGGCGGCCAGAGCTGCTCTTGAGGCGACTCCAGGGGACTCATGTATGTATACCACTTTGTTCTCTCCCGCTTGCCGTGCAGCTTGTGCAAGGTGAGCGCCACGAGCGAGAATCTAGAGAGCCACTTGGAGGGGAAAATGCACGGGGTGGAAGTGAGGGGGGCGACCAGGGCTGCTTTGGAGGCGATTGGCAGGAACACACGTGCATGTACCCTTTTGTTCCCTTCCCTTTCCTTGCAACCTGTGCATGGTGAACGCTACGAGCAAGGAGACTCTCGAATGCCACTCTGAGGGGAAGAAGCACCGGGGCCGACCAGGACTGCTCTGGAGGCATCAAAGGGCCAACAGGAGGTGTCAAGAGGCACTGAAGAGATGCCCAAGGATGCAGCAGTATAGAGTGTGGTGCAGAGTGGTGCGGAGCGGATGGTGGTGACAGTGCTCATTGTGAGAAGGTTAATGGGGCAGCAGCTGTAGCAGCGAATGGGAGTGCGACAGGTGGACAAGAGATTGGATCCCTGGAGGAGGGCAAGGAGGAAGGCGAGGAGTCAGACGAAGAAGTGAGAGGAGCAGAGGTGCAGGGAGGGGAGGAGGGTTAGAAGAAATAGATGAATAAAGAGAAGGGAACCAAGAAGAAGGGGACAGAAAAGGGAGATGACGAGGGGACTGCTGGGAAGGAGGAGGAAGCAGCAGGGGCGAAGCGCAAGACCAAGGAGACAAAGAAGCAAGAGACAGTCGGGGGTGATACGGAGGCGTGTGAAGGAGACGCTGGGATTCCGTGGAAGAAGCTCATTCGGCAGCAGCTCAAGGCGGTGAGTGCAATGCAGTATGCAGTGATACGCCCTGGTGGAAAATGCGAGGCTGATGCAGAGTAATCTGAAAAAGGGAGCTGCTGCAATATGCAGAGGCTCAAGGCGGTGAGTGCAATGTGGAGCAATATGCTGTTACCTGTTACAAAAGGTTGGAAAGGTGCAAAGGTGGATATTGTTTCCCGTAAAAGTGGCACGACTTGTGGGTGTGTGCCACTTGTTAACTGGCCACAACACAATGTGCTACTTCTCCTGTGAGCTTTGTGTTTTGAGGCGCCTCAAAACTTGCTCATGCCACGTGGCGTAATAAACATTATCTGTTAGATTCTAATGCTTTTTGTTGTGTTTCTTGTTGTCGAGTTGATGTGCTCTCGAACGCCTGTTCTCTCCATATCAGGCACCCAGTCACGAGCTGCCACTCAAGGCGCTGAGGAAGCAGGTGCTAGCAGCAGCCAAGCGAGTGCTGGCAGAGCAAAGCTCAAAGGAAAGCGCCAAGGACAGCTGCAAGCAGGGTGCAGGCAAGGGAAGGGGAAGCAGCAGCAAGGAGGAGCTGTTGGCTGCCTTCCAACGCTCTGTGAGCTCTCTGCTCTCACGCTCCCTCTCTCCCTCTTGACCTCTCTACACTTATTATATTTTCTCACCCTCTCTCTACACTCACTCTCCCCACACTCTTCACCTCTACACTCATTCTCTGCCCTCTTGACCTGTCTACACTCACTCTCCTACCCTCTTGACCCCTCCATTCAGTCTCCCCCTCTTGTCCTCCCCACACTCATTCTCCTCCCCTTTTTTACCTCTCCACAATCATTCTCCCTCTCTCGCTTGTCCTCTCTCCACTCATTATCCCCCTTCCCCCTCTTGACCTCTTCACACGCATGCTTCCATGCTTCCTCTCTCTTGACCTCTTCACGCTCATTCTCCCTCTCTTGGCCTTTCCACACTCAATCTCATCTCTCTTCACCTCTCTGCACTTATTCTCATCTCTCTTCACCTCTCTGCACTTATTCTCTATCTTGCAGCTGGAGAAGTGCAAGGCAGTCATTGTTGAAGATGTTACAGTGAAGCTCAACGTTTAAAACCAGAGTCTCAAGACAGTTTGATTTTTATTTGCGAAACAGTTGAAGCTTAGCTACCCCATTTGTGTGATCGAAGTGTATGGTTGGTTTGGAAGTATAGTGTGCAACTCACACACACCCATTTCCCCCCTGAACTAAACAAATTGCTGGAAATATCGTATGAGGCTTTCGAGTTGGAGTTTTGACATTTAACCTGTTGTGCCTATTTGGTTCAGATACAGCCTGCAAATTGTGTTTGCTTCGCACCCCACCCCTCATTTCACCCCTCTTCAAATATTCTGCCATATTGATCAGTCTCAGCCTAGCTTTAATCATCAGCAAAACAGTTGATCCAGTTTGAATATATGTATTGTACCCCGTTGCATTTGGGAGGTGTACTCTTTAGGGGGTACGTCTTGCATTTGTTTATAGGAGCAGACAATTTAGGGGGTGTGTTACTTGCTGCAGGCATTTGCATTTACCGTACCGTCACCCCCCGGATAAGCCCCCATGGGGGGGTATAATAAAACATGTTTTTGTATGGGGGTGGGCTTATAATCAAGGATTTTTATAAGCGCCGGGGCTTATACAATGGCATAGATGAAATGTAGTTGTTTTCACTTCTAAGTGTTCATCTTGTCATTGCGATTTCAATCGAGTCAAGATTATAGATGGTTGTGAACAAGAATCTCGCGTAAGTTTGCAAGCTGCCAACACACACAGTCAAAATGAGTCATTTCGCCCTATGACAGCTCATTCTGACTGGACGCGCAGTCAGTGAGTCGCGCGAGGGTGAAGGGTCGAATTTCAAAATGGCAAGATGCAAAAAGTGTGTTTCGCTACAGAGATTCCAGTAACTTTATAAAAACTCATACAAATGGTGGCTCTTATAATACGTAAGCCTTTAGGGGTGGGCTTATAATCGAGGAGCGGATATAAGCGCCATGTGCCAATTACAAGCGCCTGGCGCTTATCCCAGGGTGGCGCTTGTATCCGGGGGGTGACGATACATCTATAAATTGTTGATCTCATCCAACTATTGATGGTAAACAATTGCCTACTCCTTGCATGTAAAACTTGGGCTCTTGTCCTTTCTAATGCCACTCCCTGTTTTCCCATCCCAAGTTCCTCATCTCTTCAACCCTATTAAATTGTTACTGATCTTTGTGAGACCCCAGCTTTTATACGATACCGCAAAGATTCAGTTGCTGCATGTAAACTTACAACACCTAGCATCAATGAGAACAGGTATGCTTAATTACCTTCAACTACCGTATTTACCCGGGAAAACGACCCTAGGGTCTAATGCTACCCCGAGAAAAAGAGGGGTGTGGGCAGGGCTAATTTTATCAGGGTAAATCACACTGATAGCCTGTTAAGGGTGCTTTTTAGGGGTCACACTTTTGCCTTTGGGTAAATCTTTTGAGGGGCCTCTATTTTCCTGGTGTGTCAAGGTTTACGTATGAGGCACACTTTGACCCAAGTGTAATCATTCGTCTTAGTGAGTTTTACCCTGAGGCGCGTACCAGGCGTATGCCATATGGGGTACAACAGTTAGGGTTAGGTTTATGTACCCCAACCAACCTTAGTGAAACGATGATTCCGTTCTTTAGGTTAGGATCTCGTCGGATCCCGTTCGTTCCGCTCTAGCCGACCACGCCTGTAGCGCCTATCGCGCCCGCCCGTCCCGTCCCGTAGCATCCAGACCCGTCGAACCCGTCTGTCCCGCCGCGTCGCATCTGCCCGTCCCGTCCGTCGCGTCCATTCCCATCTCGTCGCGGTCCCTCCCCCCCCCCCCCGCCCCCCCCCCCTCCCCCCCTCCTCCCCCCCCCCTCCTCCCCCCCCCAAATCTGCTGACAGGGTGCTTGCGCCCGCGCCCTGCCTGTCATGTCTACCTGGTCCCGTCCGGTCCACGCCTGCTGCGCCTGTTGCTCACCTGCGCTCGCTCGATTCTAGCTACCGCGCTGCCTGCACTGACGCGCAACTTGCACTGCTCCCTCCCCCTATGGTGATTACCATTTATTTCATCGCCACTAGCCTCCCTGACCGCCTTGCTTCGGTTCGTGACGCGCTTCTTCTGAAGCACCGTAGCGAGCTCACTATCGAGGTCCTTGAGTCTGCCTCAAGGACGTCGAGAGCAACCTCCGCTCAATAGCCCCCGCCTCTAGTGCTGTGCCCCCTCTGTTTCACAGGTGCACTGTCCCTGAGCTGCCCACCTTTACTGCCTCCCTCGCCACTGCCGCTACTGACGTGACCGCAGCTGTTGTTACGACTTCTTCACGGTCTAGGGGTAGGAGTGGCAGGAGGGGCGGTCAGGGTGCGGGCGGAGGCAGCGGGGGCGGCGGAGGTGGTGTAGCGAGCAGCGGTGGCTTGAGTACAGAGGTCGGAGGAGCGCCTCGTGCAGCGGCTAGTGACTCCCCTCCTGCAGCTGGTGGAGGTGACGCTCGGGTTCGTCGGGCACTTGCTGGTCCGCCAGCTGCAGGTGCTGGAGTGGCGGCTTGGTACCTAACTCATCGGCAGAAGCAGCCACTCCTCTTGCAGCTGCCATAGCAGCAGCAGGCTTCGAGGCAGGGGTCAGGACCCCGTCAGCTGTCGCGTGGTGCCGTCCACCCTCCCTGCACCTAAATCATTTAGATAGGTGCTTGCCGAGGCCTCCTTTGTGGCCGCACCCACCCACCAGGTCAGTGCTTTGCTCAGCTCACTGACACACTTCGTGCGGCCTACGGCGTTGACGGCTCTGCCCCTTACTGGCTTCCCCTTGTTCAGACGTACGACCCCGCTCTGTGGAGCATGTCGGCTTCTCAGATGCTGGATCACTTAGGAACTCCTCATGTTATGTATGTTGTTGTTGACTATAGTGCTTCTGACTCTGTTAACTCGAGTGTTGTTAGCTTAGGTGCTAGTGTTGCTGAGGTGCCTGTTGCTAACGTCGGTACTTGTATAGACACTAGTCGAGGAGCTGCTCCGGAGGACACTTCGCTGTCTTTCACTCTGGATTCTGGAGCTTCGCACTATTTCTTCCGCGACCATACGATGCTTACTCCGCTTCCTGCGCCGGTCTCTGTGGCATTGGGTGATCTTACTTCGGGATCAGTCACTGCTAGCTACACTACTACGCTTCCGTGTCCAGCAGTTCCCTCGGGTTTCCTGATAGGCTTCCACATCCCCTCGTTCTTCAGGAACTTGGTGGGTGTGAGGCCGCTCGTGAGTAGTCACGTAGGTGTGTGGATTGAGCCTTCTGACGAGACTGCAGTTTGTGTCGATGGGGACACGTACGCGCCTCTGGCCACCTTTACCGTTGAGCCGGGCTCTGGTCTCTACACACTTCACACTGGCCCCTGAGGGCAGCAGCAGCAGCCGCAGCAGCAGCAGCAGCAGCAGCGGCATCGGCCTCCTACCCCTTTCACTGCCCCCCGTCAGGTCCCCACATCTCACCAGGTTGCCGCCTCCTACCAGGTTCTTGTGTCTTGTCTGGTTCCAGCGTCTGGTCCAGTTGCTGCGTCTTGCTCGTGTCGGTCGGTTGCCCACCCCACCATTCTGTGGCACCACCGCCTTGGGCAACCGTCCATTCCTCGCCTGCGCACTATGTCTAGTGAGCGTCTTGTCTTAGGCCTACCACGAGTCTTGCCGTCGCTACCGCCTTCGCCTGCACCACCTTGCGCCCCTTGCATCGAGGGTCGGCTGCGCGCCACCCCTCACTACTCCTCCCTTCGTCTGGCCACCGAGCCCTTCGAGACTCTCCACTACGTCTAGGGCCCCGCCTCGCCCTGGCCCTGACCGAGAGAGTTTCTTACTGGTGGTGGTTGACAACTATTCTCGGTACACCACAGTGTTCCCCCTGGCAAAGAAGAGTGAGGTGACTTCTACGCTGATCCGGTGGTTACTTACCACCGCGGACACTCGTGGTCGTCGTGTCAGCTGTCTTCACTCCGATCGCGTGGGTGAGTTTCGCTCCGGCATTCTCGTTGGACTCTGTCGCGAGCAGGGCATTCGTCAGTCCTGGATGCTTCCAGAGTCTCAAAGCAGAATGGGGTTGCTGAGCGCTGCATATGCTTGTTCATGGAAATTGCACACACCTCCATGATCCACGCACGTGCGCCCCATTTTCTGTGGCCCTTCGCGGTTCGGTACGCCGCTCACCAGCTGAATCTCTGGCCACGTGTCTCTCGGCCAGAGGCTTCACCGACCAGTCTTTGGACCGGTTCCTGCGGAGATAACTCGGTCAACAAGAGCTAGACTACGGGCTAGGCACGGGGTAGGAGTGATCGTAGCGTTCGTTTGTTCCTTAGTCGTTTCCTTGTGCGCACACTACTTGCTAATTCACGGAAAGAATTGGCAAGAGTTCCACTAGGAAAACATGACAACAATAGTTCAGAATGATAGCAACAGCATTGGCAACACAGACTACATCAGAGCTAGCTAGGCTGCTGGTCGACTTCCAACGCAGCATGGTCGACCGCGATCCAGCGCACCAGAGCTCGTACCACTCCAGCATTGCAGAGTAGCGGCTCGCCAACATTGGAGGCCCACGGTGTGCCAACGCTGCAGTAAGTCAGTTGCACAGCGTTGCACCCGCAGGACAATGGTGCACCTGCTTCATAGCTGGTTGGTGCGCCACTCCTAGTCACGTGCACAGCGCAGACGCTTGGCAAAGTCCACGCCAGCGACTACGCCTACCAACCACGTCGACCTCGGGATACCACCCCCGAGGTCGACCTCCCAGAAACCACCCCCGACGACCTCCGCACACGTCGCCCGGGTATCCTGATCGACCGGGCAACCCCGCGTGGTCGTCCAGCCCAGTCGGTCGCCGGCTACACCAAACCCGGCGTCCTAGCGTCCAGGTCGGAGTCCTGTCACAGAATCCATTGATATATTCAATACATTCAGTTTCTCGCTAGGTGGGGTGTAGAAGGTGGTAGAACTGTGTCATGTAATGTTACCAAAGGGGTTGTTGGGTTTCAGGGAAGTGACGGGAAGTTGGTAACAGTGGGAATTACGAAGTACAGTGGGGAGATCTCAAGGGCCTCGAGGGACAGGGAATTTGCAGTGGCCAATCCAAAGTCAGGGCGACTCGAAGCCAACCCAGTTTGTCGAGGACACTCACGACTCGGGACAGGGCAATAAGTAGCCTAGGCTAGGACATACCAACCTGTTCTCATATTTGTTCGCCTCATATAGTGGTCAAGTGTTACCGTTCTCAAGCTACTTAAGCTAGGTGACTGCGCCACTGTGGGCGGTCGGAGGCAGAATCTCTCACAAACAAGAGAACCAAAGCGGCAGCATGGACTACCACGAGCTGCGCTGGCAGCGGATGTTCTCACGGAGGTAAATTTCGCCGTTCCGAAGGATGCGCTCACAGGAGCGGGGACGATCGCCGGGTCGCTCGTCTAGGAGAGAGGCGGATCGGGCGAATGGAGAAGCAAGTGGTGACGGACGGCGCACTGGAGGCGAGCCCGATCTGCAGACGGGATCGGTGCCACGGCCTCAGCCGTTAAGCAACGATCCCTGGGATCTGCCAAGAGGCCAGCGGGGCGCGGGAGCAGGGCATCACAAGGATGCCGACGATCTAGAGTCGATGGGGTCGGCAACTGAGGCTGACGGCGAGGAGACAACAGAAGATGTCCCGGGTGCGGGGGACGGAGGGAGAGAAGAAGATGAATATACGCGAAGCGATGGCGGAGAGGAACGCGAAGAGCGCGGAGGTGAAGCGACTCGCTTGGCAGACGAGGTGTGCAGGAGTGGCGAGAGGCGCCAGAGAAGATGCGCGATGGAGGTGCGAGACGCGGCGGAAGCGCTGCGGCAGATCGCGCGCCAGAGGAGATTCAACGGAGGTGCGAGGCGCGGCGGAAGCGCTGCGGCAGATCGCGCGCCAGAGGAGATGCGCGACGGAGGTGCGAGGCGCGGCGGAAGCGCTGCGGCAGATCCCGTGCCAGAGGAGATGCGCGACGGAGGTGCGAGGCGCGGCGGAAGCGCTGCGGTAGATCCCGCGCCAGAGGAGATGCGCGACGGAGGTGCGAGGCGCGGCGGAAGCGCTGCGGCAGATCGTGCGCCAGAGGAGATGCGTGACGGAGGTGCGAGGCGCGGCGGAAGCGCTGCGGCAAATCGCGCGCCAGAGAAGATGCGCGACTGAGGTGCGAGGCACGACGGAAGCACTACGGCAGATCGCGCGCCAGAGAAGCTGCGCGACGGAGGTGCGAGGCGCGACGGAAGCGCTGCGGCAGATCGCGCGCCTCAGGAGATGCGCGACGGAGGTGCGAGGCGCAGCGGAAGCGCTGCGGCAGATCGCTTGCCGGATGGCAGGCGGGAGGACGGCGGGAAAAACCATGCGCCAATGGGATTGGACAGCCCGCATGGGCCGCAAGAACGTGGGAGGAGACGTGTGGCGATGGACGTGTGGCGATCGCCAGAGAGACGGAGGGAGGAGGAGTATGAGCGAGGGAGACCAGCAGGTCGAAAGGGACCTAATGCATGGGAGCGAGGGAGGCGTTGTCAGGAGCACTTGCCTGAGAAGAGAGAAGGGCGATGGGGGGAATCAGAAAGGCGGAGGGAGGCCTGTGAGGGTGAGCGAGGAAGGAGTCCACTGGGGCCGAAGAGGCCATGGCAATCAAAGGAAGCTAGAGCACCCCGGGAAGGGATAGAGCGAGTGCTGTACGGGAGGAGCTCGGGGAGCAGGAAAGATGAGGAGCAGCGCGGAAGAAGGGAGGGGTCATCGGAATGGGGGGCAACGAGTACCAGGGAGGAATATGAGTATGGGCTGGATCAGCGCCGATGGGGTAAGCCGGAGCGGCGCGAGAAGGAATCAATCCATGAAGGAAGAGAGGGATACAGGGGAAGGCAAGAAGGGCAGAGGGAACCTGGAGTGGAGGTGAGGGGGAAGAAGGACGAGAGAGGGCAGAGAGGGAGACGAGAGGAGCAGCGTAGGCGGCGGAGTTGACGCCTGAGCATGACAGGGAAGGCGAGGAAGAAGGAGATTGTGACAGACCTGCACGCTACAAATTTGGCCGAAGGGAGAAGTGCTGGGAAGAACATTCCCCTGAAAAGAGAGAGAGACCAGGACGGGGTTCAGAGGGACACAGGGAGGCTCGTGAGAGAGAGCGGGGAAGGAGCCCAAGTCAGAGCTGTCAAGGAAGGCCGCAGCAGTCATGGGTGGGCTCGGGAGGAGCCTGAGCAGCCAGGGAAGGAATCTATCGAGTGCTGTATGGGACAGAGTCGAGGAGACGCGAGTGGGAGAGGAGAGGAGAGAGTAGCAGGAAGAATGAGATCTCAGGGACTTGGGAGACGGGTAGGTAGAGTTTGCAGGCCCCACCTCAGGTGAAGGTGCCAGTGCGCTTTACTGGGGGAACAGGATCTGAAACCAACCTAAAGAATTACCTGATGCAGATCGCAAATGTGAAGTACCGCAGCGATAGAAGCGGGATTGACCCGAAAGAGTTTTTCTTGAGCCTACAGAATACGTTTGGAGGCGAAGCTGAAACGCTGTACCGGATGAAGATGCCAGAGTGGCTGAGGCGGGCGGAGGAGGATGGGGATGATCCCACGATGCTGTTCCTAGAGCGACTGAGAAAACAGTTTCCAGGGCACATGGCGCAGAAAATTAGAGAATTTCAGGAGTTCAAGCGAGGGAGGACCGAGTCACTGCTCACCTACTACGGGAGGTTGATGAATCTGGCGGAAGACGTGGTTTGTACAGATGACAGCATGCTTATAAGCAAGTTCCTGGGGGGACTTGATGAGGGACTTAGCGGTGGACTGAAGGTGAGAGTGTACAAGCTGGGAGCTGATGCGACGCTGGAAGAAGTGTTTGAACTCGCAGAGAAAGTGGAACTGGCGCAAAGGCGGTATGAAGTCTACCTACCGAGGGTGGCAGAGAGGAAGAGGGGCGACGTGGGCAGTAGCAATGACACATGGAGACGAGGGCAGGGAAGAGCAGCGGCAAGAGGGGCAGCCGGATACCTGGACGTGTCACAGGTGCGGGCAGAAAGGGCACATCAGGATAAACTGCAGAAACTGTGATGCGTGTGGGAAGCGCGGACACCGCCGAAGCGATAGGAGAAGCAGGAGCCGGAGTGCTCCTATGCTGTGCTGCGTGTTCGTGAAGATATGAGGCTGCGCAGTGGGGGCAGGGACGGAGGAGGGGAGCGTGTGAGTAAGGTGGGGGCATGGGCATGTATACCAGCAGCAGCAGATACTGAAGGCAAGGAGGAGAAGATGGGGGAAGGGGTACATGTACCAGCAACGGCAGATACAGAAGGAAAGGAGAAGGTGGGGGCAGGGGTACATGTACCAGCAGCGGCTGATAAGGACGGAAAGGAGAAGGTGGGGGCAGGGTTATACGTACCTGCAGCGGCGAAAGCAGAAGGGAAGAACGAGAAGGTGGGGGTACCGGCGTGCACACCAGCAATATCGGTGGCGGAAGGGAAGGAAGAGAAGATGGGGATAATGTCATGCAAACCAGAAGTGGCAGAAGCAGTGGGGAAGAACAAAGAGTTGGGGGGCACGGGCGGGTGCACCACCAGCAGCAGAAGCTGAAGGGAAGAACGGAGAGATGAGGGTCAGGGCAGGTGTATCAGCTAAAATGATGAGCAACTGGTGGCAAGGGGAACTAGGGATAGCATGGTGGGAGGGTCCAGTGTGGGACACGGCCCAGAAGCGGGAGGAAGCAGAGAGGGAGAGCAAGGAAGTGGGGGCAAGGGAGTGCCTGCCAGCGGGGGAAGAAGTGGAGCAGACGATGGGAGATGATATGAGGCAAGAAGTAAACGAGGCCCTGCAGACGGTCAGGTGGATTAAAGGAGAAAATTAGGAACAAGAGCCGATGCCGCAAGCAGCCCAGGTGCTAACAGAGGCAGTGGGTAGGCACGAGCAGCCTCTACAGCAGGGCGGCATAAAGGACAAAGGCAGTGGGGGACGTGGGATAGGAATCTTACCTGCAGAGGAGGAAGAATGTTACTCTGGAAATGCTGCCAAGCATGACGAGGTAGAAGACGAAGCAGCTGAGGGGATTGGGATTACGGGAGCTGGCGAAGATAAGGGGAGAACAGAGCGTGGGCCACCAGACCCACACGGCAGTGGGGCAGAGCAGCCGACTCAGCCGGGAAGTCCTGTGACTCAGGCCCGAGCAGCTCGAGCACGAGCACATGACGGGGCAGGTAGTGGCTGAGTACAAAGGAGGGAACAGGGGAGCAGGAGTGAAGAGACAGGAGCAGGTGACAGCGAGGATTCCGACAGTCCAGGCGCCCGGGACGCCGAGCAGACGCATAGGTCGGCGTCCAGCCTCCCAGGACGCCGAGCAGACGCCCAAGACGGCGTCCACCTCCTCGGCGCCCTCCATCCAGGCGCCCCCCAGCTCATCGCCCTTGCAGTGGCCCCCGTGCCCACTGTTGCGGGTCGGCTGCATCCCCCCGCACACCCGACCACGAGGTCGGCTCCGCCCAAGTGAGGACGAGGTCAAACACTACTCCCGTTGACAGGTCCCCTGGTGCTGCGTCACGTTTTCGTGTCTGTGGCTGCTTGGCGCTTGTTCACGACACCTCCGCGGATAAGCTCTCCCCTCGCCCTTCTCTGTGTCTTCCTTGGTTTCCCCGAGGACTCCTCTGGCTTCACATTTTACCACCCTCCCCTCCACCGGTTCTTTGACTCCCGCGGCGTTCGTTTTGTCAAGTCAGTCCCCTACTACACCCAGTACCCCTGTCGAGGTCTTTCGGTTCCTCCTCCCCCTCTCTTCCTGACTCCCGCACCCCCTCCTGCCCCTCCGGTACAGCCCCCCCCCCCCCCCCCCCCCCCACCCCCTCGGTCCAGCTCCGTCAGGTGTGTCGCACGCTACCCCCCCCCCCCCCCCCCCCTCGGTAGCCCCTCAGGTGCCGTCCCCTTCCCCACAGTCCTCCTCACAGCCTACTGCAGAACGTGCGGGAGCTGGTGCTCGTGTCGAGGACCTTGGGGGTGCTACCTCTGGACGTGTTGCAGTTGGAGCTGAGATTGTGCACCCTCTACGGGACCTGGGGAGTCAGGGACTAGTTGCGTTACTGCTGGTGGTGCTGGCTCTGGGGGTGGTGCGACTGGTGCTTTGGAGGGCGGTCCTGGGGCTACCACCACCCCGGGCACTACTCCTCCCCCCCACCCCTACCCGACCCGGCACCAGGCCCGTGTTCGCCACGCATGTGAGGAGCAGCTGGAGTTGGAGCGAGAGGGGCTAGAGTTGGAGCGGCAACAGCTGGAGCTACAGCAGCTGGAGGAGCGGCAGCAGCAGCAGTAGGCGCAGCAGCCGCAGCTGCAGGAGCAGTTGGAGCAGCTGCAGCCACAGCTCGAGGAGCCGCAGCCGCCACAGCAGGAGCAGCAGCAGCAGCCGCCGCAGCAAGAGCAGCAGCAGCAGTCGCCGCAGCAGCAGCAGCAGTCGCCGCAGCAGCAGCAACAGCCGCCACCTCCGCCTCCTGTCTCTGGACTTCGGACCCTCGGTCTCCCCTCTCCTTCTCCTCCCCCCTCCCCCTCTCCCCCTGTCTACGGTCCCACGTTTCCTCCTAGTGCTCCAGATAGAAGTGCATGCACTTATCCTATGCCTGCGCCAATATCCGGGGTGACACGGTACTTGCCACTGTAGCTGTTTTTGCCAACTACTTTTGACGTTCAGTCTTTGTCCTCGTTCCTTGTTCGCTTTTGGACTTCGTTACCATATGAATATTTATACAACAGTTCCGTATCATAACAATAAGACCGTTTTTAGAACAACTGAATGATATACGGGTATACATTTGAGATGTTCAATTGTTTTGACGAAGTTTTTTTGCGACCAATTTTCAATTGAAAAAACAAGGAAACGTGTACGATAGAAAACAGGGGCAATATAGATTGAAGTGTTGTATAAAATGGTTAAGTTGAAGTGTTATATAAGGAACACCAGTATTTCCACGAGTTTCTAACCCCACGATTCCACACACACACAATGCCGGGTCATGTTTTGCCAAAGTCACAAAAACGACGTTTGTTCGGACCACGCACGTCCGTCCAGCTAGGAAGAGTAGATGACCTAACATGTAGGGCAGGCACAACTCCTTACGGCCAGCGCGCTACAGAGTTGGTCAATCGACGAACACGAGTCCAAGGTTCGAATAGAGTGTGTCAGTTCTGCGTGGTGACTCGGGAGCGGAGGAGGGAGTTTTGGGCCGGAGTCAGGCGGGCTCAACGGCAGCGATGGCGCGTGAGCGTAAGCGCTTGCAGCGCGCGGCGTTGGCACTGGCGTGGTGGCTCGTCGTCGTTGTCGCGCCCGTCGCGATGGTCAACGCCGTTCCGCTCGATGCCACGCAAGGCGAGTCGCTCGCAATATGAGTGCCGCTCATCCCAGTTAGTAACGCCTCAGCTGGGTCCCAAAGTAGGGGAGTGGTAGTTCCCCACCTGCATTGGGAATGACGCTCTGCCATTGGCATACGCTTTTAGAATGTCATGCGAGAGGAGCGCGCGTGGAGGGCATCATTGTGCGCAATGATGCCCGCCACGCGCACTCCTCTCGCCTCAGGCTGGCGGCGCTGCATGATGGCCGCATTGCAGGGCGGGAGAGGTGGAGCTGATCGACCTGCGTGGACCGTCGCAGGGGAGAGCAAGGGCCCAGGGTCGCGCGCGTGCACCAGGAGTAGGCCCACGATTTCACATTTTTTTACCTTTTCTGTGCAGAGAGATGTTTTCAGTGGCATCCCAGTGTGTAGGTATTGACAGCTTCGTAGGTCAAACAGAGCCGGCTCTGCTTAAGAGTCCTCGCCCCTGCGGGCAAGTCATGCGACAAGGGTTGCTAAAGAGAGAGGCGAGATGGGACGATTGCCAAACCCCAGGTGGTACAGGAGGGCGATTCCTGAGGATGAGTCGTTGTCAGTCTGACGTCGCAGCAGCCATGGGATTAGCTTAGGAAGGTCCCCTAACCCCCAACCCCGCCTCCCTTCGCCCCTATGCCCCCCACCCCCTGCCACTCATCCATTGCAGTGCAATTCCTGCAGGAGTGCCAGGCGGCATGGGGGCAGAGCATTTCCGGGTGGAGTGGCGCGAGTCCGGACTACAGCAGTGCCACGGGCCTCACTTGCGACCCCTCCGGCATGATCCTGGCCCTGTGAGGCAATCGGGGTAGATGCGAGGGTGGTGGTGGGAGGGAGGCGATGGGGAGAGAGAGGACGCGAGTGGGAGGATGCATGTGAGAGACTGAGAATGAGAGGAAGGGAGTTAGAGGATGCAAGTGAGAGGATGCGGGTGAGAGGGTGATTGCGAGAGGGTGAGTGCGGGTCCTCTCCACCATGCCGCACTTATTGCCTCTCTTGAAAACCAATGCTCAGTGATAAGCATCATTGACTCACAGATTCAAATACCATCATTCCCAGACCATCATTCTTGAACCATCATTCCCACACCATGAAACAGGCAACTCCGGAACTACAAGCTGGGAGGGAAGATTCCAAACTCCCTCAGCAGCCTCGGGAAGGTCACTAAGCTGTACGTCCTCAGCGCCATGTCACATTGAGTACTTATTGCAGTGAAATCGCACTCCACCTTGCATCCTGCAGCACAGGTGCGACCCACTTTCACGTAGACGTGAGCATTTGGCGAGCAAGTAAAGCGCGACTCCACTCCATTTACGAGCCTCAGGGTGAGGCCCGAGTTGAGTCGAGTTTACTCGACCCAAGCCTTTTTTACTACGGCTACACTTAAAGCGCAACCATATAATCGTGGGAAAAAAAGCCTCGTGTCCCAAGTCAAGTCTTACTCGACCCAAGTCTTTTTTTATCTAATTTAGAGTGACCCGTCAAGTACGAGTCGTCTCGTTTCACCTTACCTGGCCCCAAACCAGCTCCCACCTGAGCACTCAACCTCTCCACGAAATGGCAGATTCCCAAAGACCTGAACCCCCCCTCCCCCCCCCCCCCTCCCCGTCCTTCCCCTCTTCCCTCCCCCTTCGGGGTCATCACCTGGCGTGCATCGATTGCAGTGAGACGTTCGATCAGCGCCCGCCCCTCCCCCCCCCCTCCCTCCCCCCGCCCGCCCCCCCCCACCCCCCCCCCCCCCCCCCTCTCCCCTCCTGCCCCTCCCCTCTCTCTCTACCCCCACAGACCGCTTAACTTCTCCATTGCCCTCTATCTCGCTCTTGTGAATGCTCTTCTTGCAAAGAGTCGTTCTGGAGTAACCAAAGTCTGTGGCCAGTTTTCACCAAGTGGCTGGCTGGGTAGCTGTGGCCAACAATCCGAGCCGGAGCTGGGCTCGAATATTCATCGAGTCTTGTCTCTGATTATGCATTGCTGCTCGTCGCGAGGCCACCAGGATCCATTTTTACGGCTCTCGGCGAGTCTTGTAGCGGATTGTCGACGAACAGTGGGAACCTGAGTTGTGCTGATCAATGTGGGATAAAAAAATAGCTCCATGTTTTCTCCTTCCCATAAAAGCTTTTTCTCATACCACCACTTTCTCTCCTTCCATTTGCTAGTCCCATACATCCATGTTCTACCGAACCTTGGTTAGTTCGGTCCTTCAATATCCACCTTTTTGATAGCTTTAACTGTAAGTAC